ACTGGAAAATAATTCATTATAAAAAGGAACAAATTTTGAAACTCGTAACCCCATTTCATCCTGAGATACTTTTATTAAACGTCACTATACTGAACTAGGATTGAATATGTTAACTGCTGCAAGGATTTTATACCCGTTATTCGAAAAGATGTTTAAACCCTTCTGTTGAAGAATGGCTAAACAAATTGTGGGAGTATATTTCAATGTCTAGATTAGCTTAAAGGAAATTGGATTTGGAAGTCAATTCTATTTGGAAACATTTTTAGATTACAACTACACATATGAAATGGTGCCATGTCCAACATCTGGGTTTCACAGTCTCTTTCTCTGACATATAATCTACATATGATTTACAGGATTCCTTTAATGTATTGTTTATTATCTGTAGTTTTTCTCTTCCCATTTTGCTGACTCCGTTTGTGTTAACCAAGTATCTTTACAGTTCAATAGAGACATGTTTCTTCACTAGAAATTGGGTATGAAATGTCTTGTAGTAGTTTAACATGTATTAGTCATATGATAGTTTAGATTTCTTGGTTATCTACCCATATGAATTGCTTTTATCGGGATTTTTAAAATTATTATTAACTGTAACATCTATTTTTATATATGATACTTTTGTATCAATATTACTTTTCCTTCCATTCTTCTTTGAAAATTGTAATAACTAGCCTGTAAAAATAAAGAAAATGCAGAGCAAACCCAGAAGATATCATTTTAATTCTGAATATTTGCTACAGTTTTTGGAGCACTTCCTTCGCAGAGTCCTGCAGCTGGCATCTTGCGGAAGCCCTCAGGAAGAACCAGAGTTTGAGACGGTTAGATTTGTCGTTTGATGATACAGATGACAAAGCAGTGGAACTGCTGTGTGAGGGGCTAAAACATCCAGACTGTAAAGTAGAGGAACTAAGGTGAGTGGGCAGTGTTTGTTTTTCAGTTAGATGTGTGTTACTTTCTATTCCGTGTTTCTCTTCTGGAAACACAGCCATAGAAAGACAGTTCCACTTGCAATATATAGCCATATTCTCTTCAGTTCCAATATGAATACAGTCCATGCTTGTTTTTCAAGAAATAATTGTAATATTTCACACTCTTCCCCACAGGCTTCGTGGAGAATTCCATGGTAAATCCAGTAGCAGGCATGTTGCAGAAATACTCAGCAAAAATCAGAGACTGAGAGACTTAGAATTGTCCTTCTACAGTACAAATGAAAGAGCAGTGAAAATACTGTGTGATGGGCTCAAACATCCAGACTGTAAAGTAGAGAAACTATCGTGAGTGAGCAGTACTTGTTTTGCAGTTAGATGTGTGTTACTTTCTATTGCGTGTTTCTGTTCTGGAAACACAGCCATGGAAAGACAGTTCCACTTGCGATATACAGCCATATTCTCTATTCCCAGAAGAATATAGTCCATGCTTGTTTTTCAAGAAATAATTGTAATTTTTTGCACTCTTCCCTGCAGGCTTCATGTAATACTCCTGACCAAATCCTGTGGCAGGCTTTTTGCAGAAACACTCAGCAAAAATCAGAGACTGAAAGAGTTAAAGTTGTCCTTCAACCACTCAGATAAGAAAGCTGTGGAAATTCTGTGTGAGGGGCTGAAACATCCACATTGTAAAGTTGAGAAACTGTGGTGAGTGAGCAGTGTTTGCTTTTCAGTTTGATGTGTGTTAATTTCTGTTGAGTGTTTCTGTTCTGGAAATAGATCCATGGAAAGACAGGTCCAGGTGTGATATATAGCCATATTCTCTTCAGTTTTTACAAGAATACAGTCCATGCTTGTTTTTCTAGAAATAATTGTAATTTTTTGCACTCTTCCCTACAGGCTTGATGGAAGAATCCTGACCGAATCCTGTGGCAGGCCGTTTGCAGAAACACTCAGCAGAAATCAGAGACTGAAAGAATTAACAATTTCCCTCTTCGATACAGGGGACAGAGTAGTGGAAATGCTGTGTGAGGGGCTGAAACATCCAGATTGTAAAGTTGAGAAACTGGGGTGAGTGAGCAGTGTTTGCTTTTCAGTTTGATGTGTGTTAATTTCTCTTGAGTGCTTCTGTACTGGAAATTTTGTTGTTGTTGTTCAGTCGTTAAATCGTGTCCGATTCTTCGTGACCCCATGAACCATATTGCGCCAGGCCTTCCTGTCCTT